CCCTGCTCTATGTCTGCTGTGTTTCATTGTTTGGAGACAGAACTATTAAGCTATGAAGTGGTTTTACTGAACAAGACCTTCCTCCTAAGGAAGAGGAATATGTTTTACAGCTTTGGCAAGCTTTTACTGCTGACACTTTGAACCTTTGGGCTTGTTTCATCTTTAATCTGTGGGACAAAGTCCTCTGCCTTGTTTGACTAGTCACTTGTTGCTTTTAGTCTTTCCTCCGACATCAGCACTCTGTTCAGAGGAGAGGAGCCTTGTTAGACTCAGGAATTGAGTAACTTACTCTTTTTGAGAAAGTGAAGCTAAGTTTTAGAGAACAAACCCAGCTGTAGAAGGAGATGACACTGACCAGCCTAGCTTCAGAGAAGAGTCCATACATGTCCTGAGGCCTACAAGCTCCCCAGTGTCAGCTATGCTGTTATGTGAATCACCGCAGTGTTGAGGTGGGCTCTCCAGAGATGCAGCTGCTGTGAATTCATCCCAGCTTCTGTAAGTAACTCCCCCCCCATGGGATTAATAACCCCAAAGAAAACCCAGAGGATCCCCAAGTTGGACTTTCCTGCTGTTGGTACTTTGGTCTGTCATAGGTTCCCATTCTGGTGTGTGTGTGTGTGTGTGTGTGTGTGTGTGTGTGTGTGCATCTCCCCAGGTAAAGTCTCTGGTACAACACCAGTTATCATAAGACTCAATAAGTTTGTGTGAGCATGTCTTGACCTTGATATCAGCAGATAGAGTAGAGTAGTGTGACAGGCTTTGTCTGCACAGCTGTTGTCATCCTGGGTCTGTAGATGCTGGCTTTGTAAAAGACACTCTGTAGAAATGTAGTACAGGATGAACTTTACAAATCCAACCACTGATCTCAGGCCCCAGTCTTGAAGCGGAGGTGCAGAACACAGGAGGGAAACTGAATAGGTGGCTTATATGGTGGTTTGAAGACAGACCATCATAGGCTCATGTAGTTGAATGCTAAGTCATCAGGGAGTGGCATTACTTAGAAGGATTTGGAGGTGTGTCCTTGTTGGGGCTGGTGTGTCCTTGTTGGGGGCAGTGTGTCATTGCTGGTGGGCTTTGAGATTTCAAGAGCCCAAGCTGGGCCCAGTGTCTCCCTCTCTTCCTGTGCCTGTGGATCCTGATGTAGAACTCTCAGCTGCTTCTCCAGCACCATGTCTGCTGCATGCTGCCACACTCCCTGCTATGGTGACAATGAACTAAACACTTGAGACTATAAGCCAGCCCCAATCTTATAAAAAATGCTTTTCTTTATAAGAGTGGCCATGGTTGTGTTGTCTCTATACAGCAATGGAACACTAAGACAGCTTACATCTTTGCTGTTCTTTGGGGATGACATCTGCTTTTGAGTCTCAGGTTGCTCAACTGGGACTTTGCCCAATCCTTCCCTCTTACCCAAGCTCTTACATTCTTCAGTTCTTTAGGCTTTGATCTTAATCTCATCTTTAGGAGTCTGGCTTCACCAGAAACTCTTGATTGAGAAGAGGCCCAGTGTTGGAGTCCTCAGTGACATCCTGGACACAGGGTCCAGGATTGGATCCTGGATGCCATATCACTTGAGTTACTTCTCTGGCTTGTCCTCTGTGGCACACACAGCTTTTCTCCTAGTCTCTGGTTGGCTCCACTCACTGATGCTGCTGTTCTTGGTGGTCATCCCATGATACTGGCATCTCCAAAATACTGGGGTCTTCTGCTGCCTTTGCACTTTCACTAGTAGCCTATCCCGGGCTGTTTGCATGGACTCAAACTCTGGCACACATTGCCAAGTCTTAGCTGCTCTTCCTGACCCCTTCACACCTTCAAAAATAGCACCACCTGGATGGATCTTACACTACAAGTTCAGTTGCCAGCACAGGATACAACCTTGTCCATGTCTGGAACACAGCCTCAGTGCTGATTCTCAGGAAACACTTTATAAGACTTCACCTAAAGATGCTGGTCTGCTAATCACTGCTAATTTCTCAGGTTCAGCTGAGTAGCAAGGCATACCCCAGCAAAGCAAAGGTTTCAGTTTAGTACTCCTGGGTACCTTGTTAATCACAGCCCCAGCTACCCTGAAACATTGATTCTTAATTCAAGTGACCCAGTGGAGTTAGCTGTTTTGGGAATTCATTCTGACAATAGCTTTGGGCTACCGGCCTTTGGGCCTTAGGATGTGGCTTCTTAAAAGGAGAGAGACAGAAGTGGAATGCTCTTTTGGGTTGTCAAGACCAGTGACATGAAGCATCTTGTGGCTGGTTCCCAGCTCCCTTAGGCATAAGGGATATATATCTATATATCTCTATCTCTATCTCTATCTCTATCTCAATCTCTCTCTCTCTCTCTCTCTCTCTCTCTCTCTCTCTCTCTTTCTCTCTCTCTCTGTGTTTGTTTGTGTGTGTGTGTGTATCTGTATTTGTGTTTCTTACCACAGTCTGCTTTCCTAGACTTCACATGCAGGCCTTCATTATCTGCACTGCTCTCCATATTCTTATCTTCCAAGCTCTTAAAGACTGGCCCATGTCCACTTCTGTCACAACACTACCACACTGTCTTGGTATCAACTTGTCTTAGTTGGGGTTACTATTGTTGTGAGAAGACATCATGACCAAAAGAACTTGGGGAGGAAAGAGTTCATTTGGCTTCCACTTCCAAATCACTGTTCATCAGTTGAAGAAAATCAGGACAGGACTCAAACAGAGCAGGAACCTGGAGCCAGAAGCTGATGCAGAGGCCTTGTGTGGGTGCTGTTTACTGGGTTGTTCCTCATGGCTTGCTCAGCCTGCTTTCTCATAGAAAAGGACCACAAGCATGGGTAGGGCCCTCTGCTGTCGATCAATAATTAAGAGCATGACCTATAAGCTTGCCTGATTTTATGGAAGCATTTTTAAATTGGGGTACCCTTCTCTCAGAAGATTTTAGCTTATGTCAAGTTGAGAGAAAACTATTCAGAACATACCATATATTTACAAATTTCACGAGCTTTTGCCTGGCATCTTTGTCAGAAGGACATTTGACCTTTTGACCAAGTTTCAATAGTCCTTTACTACAAATGATGTCATAACTGGCCCATTATTATCCACCGTCATTAAAACGATGTGTTTAGCCTTTTGATTATGAAATATTTAACTGTGTTGTGAAGTTTGCTATTAAGACCTTCCTTATGTTCAATAATATTCAATCACTTATATTCTTTGTAAGAAATTTGTTAGAGGGCTGGAGACATTGCTCAGTAGTTAAGAGCACTTACTGCTCATGGAGAAGATCTGGGTTCGTTTCCAAGAACTCACAACCATCTATAACTCCAGTTCCAGGAGAGCTGATGTCCTCTTCTGGTCTTTGCAAGCACCAGCTACACATATCATATACACACAGGTAAAATACTCGTACACATTAAAAGAAAAATCATTGATGCCTTAGCATGTTAATCATACATAAGAATAGGATTCACTATGATGTTTTCTATGTGTGTGTAACATATTTTGGTCATATAAACTCTTCTGTTACCTCTCATGTCTACTTCCCACTCCCTCCAGGTTGCTTGCTCTTCCTAATTACTCCTCCTCTACTTTCATGTGAGGTTTTTCAATGGTGTTGACCTAATAATTCCATTTGTGGTTATTAATGAAGTGAGGGTGACAGGCTGTCTGTAAGTTTATAAGTTATAAGTCACTAGTGAACACACCACTGAACACAATGTCTCTCTCTCCAGCACCATTACCTGCAGAGAGATCTCAGGGAGCTCTGGAGCCTCATGAGTCCCTCTCCCTCCATGAAGGGGAGGGTGACAGGCCTGCTCTTGTGCAAAGATCATGCAAGTGCTCAGAATGGCTGAGAGGTCAACAGTGCCACAGCCATGTCATGGCTGGAAAACAATGTTCTCTTACATCCTTTCCTCCCCCTCTTTGAGAGACTCCGGACTCATGGGTGGGGTGATGTAGATGTCTGGTTTAGTAAATGCTTTAACACCCATGTCTTGGACTCATCATCCTGGGACAGCATTTTGGTGGCCTGGTTGGGGACCTCTCCATTTGTCTCCATGGGAGTCTCTTTCCTCTGTGGCTTGTGGCAGGTGATGGGACAGTTCATGGGTAGCTGAAGATTTCTGTCTGGAGAGGTTTTGCAGTGAGATCCAAAGCTTCAGATGTGAGTCTGAAAGTAGTTAGCTCTTCACCCCAACAGAGAAGTCTGCAAGTCACTGCTTAGCTTGTATCCGGCTGCACCATACCCCTGACAAATGGAGGTGGTTTAGAGTCCCAGGTCACCCAAACTGTTCTCAGACTGAACCATTTCTGGGGTCGACAGCCACTCAGTTGCATGTGGTACAGAGGGAAGTGAGACAGAAAGAGTAAATGTGCAGTCCTAGTTGATTGTGTGAAAATACCTTTGCCATTGTTTTTGGAATGAGTACATGGTAACGGCCCCTCTAAGGGAGCGCATTCAAGGGAGGTGTATGGAAGCTTGTTAAATTCAGTTCTCATATCAGAGAAGAAGATAGTATATTGAACTGGTAACCAGACTGTCTAAAGGTCAGTGAGGGAGGGATGGGAAGATGGCTCAGTAGGTAAGGCACTTTGTATACAAACATGAGACAGTAATTCACATCTATGATATCCAGTGGGAAACCAGTCCCAAGTCCTCAGCAGACTAATCCTACCAAGAACCAGTGAGACCCCAGTCTGCTCCTTACCTTCTTGTGTATGACATTTCTTCTTCACATATGAGCAAATGCAAATAATAAAGATAATAAAGAAAATTATGATGATGAGGAAGGCTCTGCCATGGTGGTAGATTTACTGTTATTGGGAAATTGTTTGGTAGATGGAAGCTGGGTGACAGGCAGAAGCTGAGTGATATCTGGGGTCTTTGACGTTGGTCCTTAAAAAAAAATCAGGGCATTATGGATAAAACTAAAAACACATCTCCATCAGCACCTTCTTTCTCCAGACAGCCTGAGGAAATCATGTGTAATAACTATAAGGTCCTGAGTAGAGAGAGGAGTGGAGTTGTGTGTATGATGTACTTGTAGCATTTATTTCATTACTGAAGAAAACAAATGTCCATGGAACTGTCATACAATTTGACATTTACTAATGGTAGAGCTTTGTGGATATTAGCATGATTGGTGGCATTTAATTGTTGCCAGAGAAAGATAGTGAAGACTCTCAAAGTGATGTGGACCTGGGGGAAGGGCAGCTCTAAGTGAGAAAGGAAAGGCTGGAAGTTTACAGTGATGCACACAGACTTGGGGCCCATTAGCAGGGCATGTAGTGCCTGGGCCATTGGTTAATAGGGAATGAGAAACATTGGGGAGTGAGATGGGAAAGAGGAATCCCTGTGGTTATCTGTGGCTCCTCAGACAGGAAGACCACCAAGAAATCACTCTATCTAATTACTCTATGAATCTTCCATCATGCACACATGTTGATTTCTTCATAAACAAGCAGGCAGGACCCAGTGCGGATGCACACAAATGTTCTCCTCTCTCTCTCTCTCTCTCTCTCTCTCTCTCTCTCTCTCTCTGTGTGTGTGTGTGTGTGTCTGCACTGAAATCTAAGATAAATAATTCCTTAAAAGAAACTTTTAACAAGTTGCAATAATTACACTAACAACGTAAAAGACATGTTTAAAAAAAATAAAACCTGTTTCCCAATGACACATCCCTCTAATCTTCTGGTATGAGCTGGATTGCTGGAGGTTTGGGGATCTCCATTCCTGTCTCCTTCCACCAGCTTCCTCTCCCCTCCTCCTCTCTGCTTCTTCTCCCACCTGTTTCTTCCTATCTCTGTGGTTCCCCCCATCCACACACACACACTCTACTTTCCCCATCCTGCCACTCCTATGGCCAGGTACCCTGTACATACTGCCCTGTTCCAGAGATGGCTTCCTGGAAGTGGTCAGAGGACAGCCCACACTACAGGACAAAGGAAATCTAGTCTGGTTAAATCTGGTAGTAGAAGAGTGGTGATCAAAACTCTCAGAAGTGCATGTGCCAGAGTGGATGTGACAGCAAACATTTCCTGGGGAGGGTGCAGAGTCCATGATGCTCTGTGGGATACTGGGGCACCTGCTGAAAAGCACAGAGAGAATGACCAGGGATAAGGGAATCAGGGTGGTGATATATTGTTTATGATTTATTAAAGCTACTGGAGATCAAAATAGCAAAGCAGCCATACTACTAGTTAGCCATAGAAACCAGGCACAGATCTTTAATCCCAGGACTCAAGATTAAGAGGTAGACAGATCTCTGTTAGTTCAAGGCCACACTGACGGCAGGAAATTGATCCAGTCTTAAAAGAAACAGCTCACACAAAGGTAATCACATCCCCTTGAATCACACACTTTTAATCCTAACATTAGGGAAGTATATAAGTCAGGAGCAGGGTCTCTAAGCTGGCATTAATCTCAGGATTAGTCTCTAGCCAAATTGAAGAGTGCATAGCAGTCTGTGTGAATCTGAGGAGCAGTGATGTAGGGAGCAGTCTGAGGACCACCCCTTTGGTCTGAACTGTGGTAGAGGTAAGAGCTAGTGGCTTGGGTACTTTGCTTCTCTAATGTTCAGCTTGCAGCTTGAAACCCAATATCTGTCTCTGGGTCTTTTATTTTTTGTGTTACACACTAGCATTGCTGGAAGCTCAGAGATGATGATGGCTCAGGGTTGGGTGGTGTTAGGAAACTGTATTCCTGAATCCCAGCAAATATGGTACAGAAAAATCCCATAGGATGGAGTGGTCAGGAGGCAGTAACATCAAGGACAGTGGTCCACTGATGAGTAATGGAGACCCACCTTGAAACCTAACTGCTTAAAAGGGGGTCCTGACTAATAGAACACAAGAATCCTAAATAAAGAAAGATGGTTTTCTAGCCAGATACTAATAATTAAAGACAAGACAGATGATCAAAAGCTGAAAGCCACTGTCCCATGAAAACCCCAGGCTGCATTGCCCATTGTTGAAACTGAACAGTTTTGGCTAGAAAGGTCCTGCACCTGTTAAGGGAACTTGTTGCATTTGCAGGGGATCCAGGTTTGATTCTCAGCAACTACACCTGGTGGCTCACTGCTGCCTGTGACTCCAGTTCCAGGAGATCTGAAACCCTCTTTTGACCTCTGAGGGCACCGGGCGCATATTGGTGCACATACATACATGCAGTCAAAATGTAAAATAAATCTAAAGAAACAATTAAAACTGAGCCACCTCAAAGGCAGACCCAGATTGTCTTCGTAGGAGGACACAACAGGTCCCAACAGGAGGGACCATTCAGTCTAGCACAAGTGCAGCCATTCTTTCTGTATAGCATCATTACTGCCCTTCTCTCGAGAATGAATCCCTAGATGCTCCTGTGAATGGATGGTGTAGTGATATGAATGATCTTGTGGTCCATAGAACAGGATGCTTGAATACTTAGTCCTTGAATACTTGAATACTTTGTGGTAGCTGTTTGGATAGGTTCAGGAGGTATGGCCTGGCTGAAGGAAGTATGTCACTGGGGGTGTGGATTTGAAACCCATTCCCATTTCTTCATCTCTGGAACTTGCTTAAGGTTTAAGATGTGGACTCTCAGCAGGGCATGGTGTCCCACAGTTCTCATCTCAGCACTTGAGAGACAAAGGCAGGTGGATCTCTATGCTAGTGTGCCCAGCCTCTTTTACATAGTGAGTTCTAGGACAGCCAGAACTATATAGTGAGACCCAAACCAGCTGATCAGTGGGGGCACACACCTTGAATCTCATCACTCAGGAGGCAGAGGCAGGTGGATCTCTGAGTTCCAGAACAAGCCAAGACTGCTTACAGAGAAACCTTGTCTTGAAAAACAAACAAATGAATGAATGAACATGTAGTCCACCAGGATGTGTGCTACACTAAAAACAAACGACACAAATAAGAACCCCTGCAAACCCAAACCAAACTGAAAATACGTCCCTCTGAAACTAATACATCCCAAATCCTTCCTTCTGTATGCTACTGTGACCTTGGTGTTTTATCAGAGCAATAGAAAATAACTAATACAGCTACTATATAAATATTGAAGTCTTCACAGGCCAGATGGTCTCTGTTACACCTGCTCAGTTGTACTCTTGTAGCTTGAAAGCAGCTGGAGACAATACTCCTGTGACAAACACAGCTGACCCTGCTTCTGGGACCCTATGACCCAGTACGATCTGTCAGCCTGAGCATCAGCTCCAGAAAATGACGCTGGGTGGAATTCACAGCAGCAGAGTCTAATTGGGGAATTTTCTTGCTTGGGCAGGAGCCAGCCTGAGACACCTGCAGTAGGGGCAATGCACTCTATTTCATTGTGACTGCTGGCATGGTACTGGGCCCTGACAGAGAGAGCGGCATCTAATCCTGGGCTATCTGAAGGTCCATCAGGCCTCAGGGAGACATCATGAGGTGAACTTTTTTGTACTAGGCTATTAGGAGGACAGGTTACAGTCAGACAAGATTCCAGAAGTGAGACATTGCTGCAGGGACACAAGGAGTCACTTGTGTGTTGGAAACTGCCTAGCAGGGAGAGATAACAGCTGCTGTCTGACAGAAATTTCCTTTCCCCAGATCACTGTGGAGATAGTATCTCACCTAGAGGAATTTTACTGAAGTTAGATCTCAAGTGAGCTGTCACCTCTCCCTCAGCAAGCACCTCAGGCTTCAAGGAGTGTCCTCTCTGCCCATGGGATTCAAGGAATCCATTGGACAGCAGTGGAGAGATGAAGAGGCCATAAACCCAGAGCATAGAACCCACTGTGGATTGGGAAACCTGCAGCTTTGGCAGTACATTTGAAGATACTCTGGGGGATGGACACCAATACTGGGGCATGGGATACACCCTAATCTGGGGTCAGAAGAATGGACAGAGGACAAATCTGCTGTCCCATTCATCAGCTTGTTTCCTTCTGTATCTATCACACTGAATGCAAACCTGAGTGTTCAATGAAGGATAGATATAGCGAGGCTCACCGGGTTGAGAATATTTAGTTCCTGCCATTTACAGAAATCACAAACCCTTTGTTTCCTAAATGAACACCAATATCCGATGCTATCTCCCCAAGAGGTAGACTATATGGTCTTGGAAGCAAGGGAAGCTTTCAAACCCCCTAACCAGGTCCATTGTCAGAGTCTGGCATGAGCAGAGATTGCCCCCTGGTGGAACAGAGCGTAAATGCACTGTATGAATAGGTACTTTAGAAGCCTTGTTAAGATTCAAAAGGAAAGGAAACATCTTCTGGAACAAATCTGTAATGACAGAACTTGGAAGACTGAGGGAGAGAAGCGGTTGTTGCAGATTCTATTGTGTGGGCTGTAGCACGAAATTCTTCCTTAAAAGAAAACAACTACAGAAAGAAAGGAGGAAAAGAAAAAAAGAGAAAAGAGGGGGAAAAGTTCAAAGTTGCATGACTGTGGCTGCCTGTGGCTGTGGTTGTCCCTGGAAGCGTTTATTGTGATGTTCTGGAGAATATTGTGGGAAAGAAAATCCAAGGACAAAGAGGTCCCAGAACAGTGGAGGGCTGGTGAGAAATACCCGGGGAATGCAGAGCACCGCCTGCCTTGGGTCCAGGGGAGCTGTCTGAGATCTCCTCCTGGAGGGGTCCCCACTGGTGACTCGGTTTAGGCTTCAGCTGATCCCAGTGGTGCTGAGGGCTTCACTATCTGCTCCCCTCTGCTACCTTGTCCCCCTTCTATCTTGCAGTGACATTTCCTATTAACTGTCCATCCACTGAAGATAATAGGGGTGGGACGCCGTAAGGACCAGGAAGCCCAGACTTCAGTCCCTGTGATTGTGAAGAGAAGCCCAGGAACTTCCTGTGAGGAAACTGCAACCTTCCTGACACAGTAGCCCAAAGCTCCCCTCCCCTCCCCAAAGCGTTCCAGTTGAGTCCCTGTAACTCACCAGCCTGCAGGGAAGTTCCCAGACAGCTCTTAGAACCAAAAGGTTTAGAACTATTGAAAGACTGCGTCCTGGGTCTACAGCCTATGCCATGGCTGCTTCCCGAGACCCGGCTACCTTCAGGTGTGGCTGGGGCTGGGGGGAGAATCCGGGAGTCCTCAGTACCCGCCCAGCAGATGCCCCCCGCAGAGCTTTGAGAAAGTTCCAGGCACCTGGGCTGTTGATTCAGGCCTCCAGGTGCTCTGGCCATGCCCATTCCTAGTTCTTTTCTTACATTTCTTCAGGAGCCCCCCAGCGCTGTGCTGTTCTGGTCCTCCCTCCCTGTAAACTTCAAGTTCCGGCGCAAGGAGCACGCGATGTGAATGGAGACACTGCTATCCAGGGCTCCCACATCCAGCTGTCCTGTTAATCTTACTCACAGGTTTGCTGTTCAGGCAACGGAATCGGGAAAGATAAAGAACGAATACAATGGCGCCTCTGATGGTTGCCTGTAGAATGCAACGGAATTTACCCACATTGTCCCTGTGAGGTTTCCACAACCACAAGAAATTGACATTTCTGCCTCACTCAGGAGGCCGCCCTGAATCTTTGCTTTAGCCACGTCCCTTGCTTATCTAGATTCACACACTCTCTCAGTCTCCATCTAGACCATCTCTCTGGGTTCCCTGGGACCTCCAGCCTGCTTTTCCTTACTTCCTCCTCCTCTCCTCGATTCCAGACTCATTTGCCCCTCAAGGTACCTTCCCTATCACTGCCTCAAGGTCCTGCACACTCAAGTTCCTGTCCCTCTGCTGATCACAGTCAGGGTCCTGGAGAGATGACTCAGGCTAAGAGCACCCACAACGCTTAGCCAGGTTGGATTCGCAGCACCCACACAGCCCACAAACTTCTGTAACTGCAGTCCCAGGGGATTCATGCAGGCTCCTGGCCTCCATGGGCACTGCACACATATGGTGCAGAGAAACACACAGATAAAGCTCTCACACACAGCAGATAAAAATTAGTGATTTTTATGTTTTAGAAGACAGTGTTTACATAGGAAAAGTCCAGATCCTTGGTAGAAAAAAATTGAATTCGCTTTTACTTTTTTTAAAGAGTAGTTTTGTAGGTGAACTCTCTCTCTCTCTCTCTCTCTCTCTCTCTCTCTGTGTGTGTGTGTTGTACTTACAGGATGGAGATGAACCTTGGTGTGGATCCACAGGTTGCATCACCTTGCTTTAGGACACAGGTAAACTTTCACTGGTCTCAGCTCTCTGAGCTGGCTGTGGTGTCTGGCCAGTGAGTCCCAGAAACCCCAGCTCTCCCCAGATCTATAACTGAAATGTCCTTGAACTCATTCTGGAGACATTTCCCAAGAGGTTTCTTTTCCATTGGAAGTTCCTTGCTGGTGACTTAGAAATCATTTGCACACATTTGTCCAGTAATGTCACATCAAGTCCATGGGTCTGTTCACCACTGTCACATCAGGCCCTTGGGATTGAATTTGTGAATCTGTTGTCACCTTTCCCCCCTTTTGTGGTGTGTTTTTGAAGGTGCATTGTTTAGTGAAGGTACTATTGTGTGTTTGGGGGGGGTGGGTTGTGACAGGGTGAGTATCCTTATAGGAAACAGTAAACTTTGGGTATAGATTCACTGGTGCCATCCAACTTGTGGATTATTACAGGTGAATAACTAGAGATGCTCAGTGCTAAATTGGCTTATAAGTGAACAAATGTACATATAATATAGTCTTGACTTATTTTAATTAATTACATGTAAAGCATTGTTAAACACTTTTAAAATTGATTTTGTACAAGTGTGAATATATAGGAATCCTTACACAATGCCACTAAGCAATTTAAGTTTGATTTTGCAATGTTTTAGCTGATAGCAGTTGAGCCTTAAATATGATGCTGTAGGTGGATCTTCTCTGTAAAGGACATCAGTAGTCAGGTGTGGACATCCAGCCTTGCAAGACATTAAAAGAAAAGCCTAAACTGCATTGAGAATTTTATAATAGAAAGTAAAACAGGAAGTTATAGGTTTAGAGACAGATTTCTGCTAAGAAAGTAAATATCTATGGTGAATTTTTGTTTTCTTTTTTTAAAAATAAATGTGGTGGGTAGTGAAGATGGAGGTTTCTGTCCCATCAGGTTCCACTGCCCTTTAGCCCCAAAGAAGCACATGGAGGCTATATTAATTATAGAATAATTGGCTGATGGCTAAGGATTCTTACTGGTTAGCTGTCTTAATTACTAATCCATAACTACATGTACTATTAATCTATGTATTTTCACAGGGTCTTGGCTTACCAGAGAATCCCAGACCTGTTACTCATATGAATTTAATCCTTTAGGCATAACATATAGGAACTGTGCCCTGTGTGATCCATTATGGCTTGCAGCTCTTTGGGTAGAAGATCTTCTAATTACTAGCTGTATGACTTTAGATGAGGTTGCTAGCATCTCAAAAATACAATTCCTCTATTTGTAAAACAGTTATGATAATAGCATTTACCATGGTATTAGTGATGAAAAAGAAACTATATAGGTGAACATATCCAGCACATGAGACATGTACTGGGTCTTCCATAATTTTTTTATTTTTCCTGTCAGTTTAGGCAACTGAAGTCCTGATCCTAGTGTGTATTTCCCTAACAGGTTAGAAACCTCAGGTATTTAAGATAGTTTCTGTGACATGAATCAAAACATAAAATGATTATTTAAGACCAACTTGTAAAGCTTATAAGGTTATCTAATTTTAACCGAGAGAATATTTATTTTCTGAATTTAACACGTTATTTAATTAAAAAAATACCTACCTGTGTTTTCTAATGAATATCTAATAACCAGATATTGAGCACATGTTTTAGCTGGTGCTTTATGAGTGAACTCATGTGTTGGGAGCAAACACATGAGTCAGAATGCAGATAGTAGACAGTAGAGACTCCCATGTTAGCGGGAAGAAGGGACCTGCAGATTCTCAGGAAATGGGACATAATTTGGACCTTCTTTACTATTTGGGTAGTTGTCCTGGCTGCTGGGGCACATGTCCTTTTTCCTGGTTAGTAAACAAAGCTGATTTTCCTCACATTTGTCCTTTGCTCTTATCTCACAACAGGTGGCCAGTCAGGGATGTATTTGACTCCCCAACTGCCACTGTCAGGAGCTTTGAGAGCCTTCTGTTATGATTAAAGTAATAGTTTAGAGGAAATGTAGGGCAATTAGTTGAATTGCTACAGTTTGTGTAAACTTACTTGTGAGCTAAGATGGATACTGTTGACTCTTAATCTATCATTTATCTATCTATCTATCTATCTATCTATCTATCTATCTATCTATCTATCTACCTACCTATCTTTTTGTTATTATTCTGTGTTAACATGTTTGGTCTCAGTGGACCAGATTAACAATTTCACAAGCATTTACCAGCAGGTAGTTGAGCATTATTGTCCAAATGTCTGCTTTGAGCCTTAGGGAAAGAGAAGCGTTAGTTTCCCAAGATCTACTGGTTCTTGCAGACAGAGAGAGATGGTGCAGAGAGTAAGGAGGGTGAGTAGAGAGGGTGAGTCTTCTTGCCAAGAAGCTAATGTATTGCCCTCGGCTTAGTTCATTGTAGACAGACTAATGAAAGACCCCGAAGAGATACTTTCGTAGAGGGAGACCCACACACCCAGGAATCAGCGAGGCCACGAACTGGATGCAAAAAACAAGAGGCTTTATTGGAGACGCAGGTACCTGGGGCGACTTAGCTTCTGTGTGGCTAAGCGCCCCGAGCCAAGGGAAAAGGGGTCCTTATATAGGAAAAAAGGCGCAAGCTAGGAGCAAGGATTCTATTGGATAATTCTAATGAGGCATTATACAGAGCTATTCCCATTGGTCAATGTATATGAGGCGCTATACAGGGTTATTCAAATGAGGCAAAGTACAGAGTTATTCAAATGAGGTGAAACACAGAGTCTTTCAAATGAGGCGAAATACAGAATCATTTCCATTGGATGGTTCAAATGAGACACAGGGCCATTCCAGATCAGCATATTTTCAAGGTCTGGTGTCTGGTACAGCAGACTCAATTCCCCCCCCT